ATGATTTACATGCACAAAAGAACCATCTTTAAAAAGTTCATGAAACGCCAAAACTGCCGAAAAGTACAAGCGAACAACGATACGCCTGCTCTTCCCACGATTGCAAACTACTTCGAACCGGTTGACAGGCCTTGTCAAAAAAATACTTTGTAAGTCCCACCCCCCAACAGGGAAAGAATTCAAGAATTGTCAACTTTTCACCTATGACACTTGATTCAACATCAAGCCTGTGCGAAGCTTTACGAACTTTATCTCCCCAAGGTAAGAAAGCTATATAGGTAATTCATTAACAGAAGTTAAATTGTTGGTCTGTGTTTTATTTCCTGTTTCTGAAAATTTCCTGTTCTTGTAGGTAAATGCGCGTATCAAAACCATCATGACCAACCCAGTATTACTTGTATTAAGATTTGATTTGACTTCGTCTTTTGTCATCATAATCAGGATGTCTTTGATCTTGATCAAAATCTTTCAGTTAAATTTAATTTTTATGTAATATTTTTTTATTCACTATTATTTAATTTGGAATACGTTGAATCGACAACATAATTTGGTTATTTAAATTGTATCATGTGAAATCGCTGTTAAGGTTTGCAGGTTGATGAACTTTTGGTATGTACATTAGTCGATTCCGATCATCCTACCTATCCTCGCTGTTTTGGACTGTGCGTTTTCTGGTCTGTATGTCCTAGCGACAGACAAATCCGATAATAGACATACCATGATGGTCTGAAACGACCAAGCTACTAGCATAATTTTTTCCAGAGCTTCAATAACTGAATATATAAGATTTTCTGTTTATGTAGTCAACATGTACCGTCATTTCTGTTTTTGATCAACATATACCTATCTTTCTTTAACAAGGTAGAACTATTGCTCTGTTGATGAAGTCAGCATATCATTTTTCTGTCCATAAAGTCAAAATGTACCTATTTTTTGTATTTCTGTCTTTCTTCTCTTTCTCTCTCTCTCTCACATACTCTCTCTCTCTATCAATCTATTTATCTATCTTCTATCTCTATCTTTCTGTTTCTCTTATTCCTTCTTTTCCTCTGTAAATGCTCTTGTGCTATTTGTTGTTTCTCAACCGTTAGAACCAGTTAGAAGCTTAGAGAGCCTCTCGAAGCATTAGAGCTTATGCATACGCAAGAACACACAGGCCAGACCATTCAAGGAACTCTCTCTCACTCCCTCCCTCACTCACTCTCACTTTTCATTACTATTTAAAAGCAAGATAGAGCGTGGATTTTACATATCAAACATTGATTTTTTTTAATGTTATGTTAAATGTTTAAATTTTTTCTTTGCTTTATCCCGGGTTCAAAAAAGCCAGTATTTGCCGTGGATCGAGCTTAAATCGCATAAAGCCTTATTGAGCTGGCACCCGGTGGTAAACCGGGGTACTTTTCACCCCGGAGGGGGTGAAACTTAGTTCAGCCTACATGCCAACGCTATCTCTTGATGGTGTATCCAAGCCCCTCGGGCGTTTATTGAACGGTGAGGATAAAAATCAGGACGAAAAAGGGATTTTTCTTTCCTGGAGGGGATGTCGAAGATATACAGTATGATATTCTTCAAATAAGTTTACTCAACAAATTATCAAGGATTCTTAGTCTTTTTTGACAATCTATAAAGTAGACAGTACTTGAAAGTGTGTGAAATATTCATAAAAATCGATAGGGTAAATTATATTTTTACGCGAGGAAATAAACATGTCCATTTCCCGTCAGTTTCGTCTGACGATAAGAACATACACAAAAGATACAATGGGTAAGCACACAGAAGAACAAGTGAAGATTGAACAAATTCACCAAACTCACAGATAAAAGAAGGGAACTGTAAAGCATCAGTTAAAACAAATAACTAAAAATATCCTAATAAATCTCAACAATTTATCATCATGTATTATTTATTATACAGTCTAGAGTATTGCTCCATTTATAGCCTACATTTATGCTTTATTAAATTTATTATGACTGACCATTTCTATGAGTATAGCCAAAAGAACAGGAGCGAAACGAAAGACTATGCGATTTGGAAGATAATGCCAGAAGTGTGGGTTTCGCCAGGTTCTATGATTAGTCTGTCCGTTTTTCCTTATGCAAGTCCTTTTCTGTAGTTACAGGGTAACCTGTATCTACAATTGAACTGATGATTAGAACCAATATAAATTCCATAAACATGGTTAAACGCACAGACGAACCGGTGAATATAGAAAACCTATTAAAACACACACATTTAGCTAGAATAGACATACCACCTAGAGGAAAACGATCAAGAACAAGTTAAAAATATAAAATTATCAAACAAATATTCTCATTATTATAATCTCAATATCAATCATTATATGTATTTAAAAATTAATAATCCAGTCTGATGTTTTGTTGTACATTGATGTTTTGTTGAATATAATTATTATGATCATCAAAAGAAAAGGAGTGGAAAGTAAGACTGAGATTTTTTTTATATTTATTTACAGTCCAAAGAGGTCAGGTACCCAAGCATAGGAGAGTCAAGCAACACAACACAACAATCATTACACTATAAAATATTAAAAAAGAATATAAAAATAAAAATAACAATTAATTAAGGTTTTTAGTTGAGATAAAAAAAGTCAATGGCACGAGTGGGATTCGAACCCACGATCTTCGGCTAGATACGCCGCTGCTCTACCACTTGAGCTTTCGTGACCTCGATTCACTCGGACACTAACTTCCCATCTCAACCCCACCTTTTGAATTTTCCCTCCTTTTTGCCATTTTTCAAATGTCGTGTAATCGGATTGGATTCTCGACGACAAATGAAATGGCCACGGAGAGCTTTAGTGAAGTATACTTCATGATTGAAATTTAAAAATGGCAAAAAGGAGGGAAAATTCAAAAGGTGGGGTAGAGATGGGAAGTTAGTGTCCGAGTGGATCGAGGTCACGATAGCTCAAGTGGTAGAGCAGCGGCGTATCTAGCCGAAGATCGTGGGTTCGAATCCCGCTCGTGCCATTGACTTTTTTATCTCAACTAAAAACCTTAATTAGCTGTAATATATTAATTGGTCAAGCGGACCACGAAATTAGTGAATTTAATAAAAATAACAGCAAAGAAGCGCCAACACTTTTACAAAAAAAATACTGTAAATAGATTAATAAATAACGCAACAGAAGTAATAAATAAACCCACAATTACATTTTAAAGCTTGTTTGATCTTTTTTAACGATCGGAAGGGACCCGTATTTGGTCATATGCCGTGAAGCACTAAACAATTCATGGGTCCGCAGTTGACAATGTGGAACCCTAAAGACAATACAAGATAATATATCCGGAGAGTCAATAAAATTATTTAGGATCTTGTACAGAAACATAACGGGAGCCAAAACTCTTCTATCCGCCAGAGAAACCTACTAGGCAAGCCTACCTTCATAGGAGCAATGATTGTAGTTCCTGTGATTGCATATCTTGTAATACAGGTATTTCGTGGACTTGCTCTGTAGGCAAGTCATGTAAGACCCATCTAAAGCCGGGAACACACCCGATGCAACGCCATGCGACGCTACCCGACGCAAATCCAAAGTTCGTTTTTCCATAAGATTGTATTACCCCATGCACATCTGCCCGATATGCAACGCTACCCTACTCTACGCTCTGCGATCCCCACTGTCCAGATTTTCCTCGGGTAGCATCGAGTACAGTCGAAGACAAAACCGGACAATCATATTTTTACTCAAACTACAACGATCATGGACTAGTTAAAATAGAGTAATAAATGTCGTCTCAATACCATAAAATAATAAATGCTAAAACAACAATAATAATAGAGAGAATAAGCTACTAGGAAGCTATATGATAGGATAACCTGTATCTCCAATTACTCTAACTGACGATTAGAACTTATAAAAAGGACATTCACAAGGTAAAAGCTCAGACTAAACCAGTGAAGATGGTAAACTTTTCAAAACTCACAGACAAAAATAACGGGAATGGACGTTCCGCCCGGATGGAAACGATCAAGAACTAGTAAAAAATAATCTCAATATCATAAAATAATAAATATTGAAACAATAATAATAATAATATAGAGAACAACCTACCAGGAAGCTACAGGGTAACCTGTATCTCCAATTTAACATGAAATAATTTTTTTTTTTTGCTCAATTAAATATTTCTATACATTTTATTTCCTCAAGTAAAGTGTATTCAGATTCCGCCGGTGGAGAATGAAATGAGTCGGTTTTTGAGGAAGTTAGAGGTCGCCTGTCCTGAGAACGTGGAAAAAAATTTAGTCAAAACTTGTTTTGTACTTCTCTTTGTAATTCTTCAACATTCTCCGTTTTTTAACACAGTCGACTCTTGATAATTCGAAACTGTAGTGGCCGCGAAAAAAATTCGAATTATCAAGAGGAAGAAAAAAAATTGTTATGAGTTTATATGCATTTTTCCGTTATTGCTCAAATTGTACATGTATAAAATTTAGTAAAACGAATGAAAAACGGAAGTAGATCAACTATAAAATCGAACATTGTTACGCATTATTGAAAAATTCGTGAAGTTTATTGAAACAACAATAATAATAGAGAGAATAAGCTACGAGGTACTAGAGGATAGGATAACCCGTATCTCCAATTGAACTGACGATTAGAACTTATAAAAAGGACATTCACAAGGTAAAAGCTCAGACTAAACCAGTGAAAATGGTAAAATTTTCAAAAGACACAGACACAAATAACGGATGGACGTTCCGCCCGGATGGAAATGATCAAGAACTAGTAAAAAATATAGTAATAAATGTCGTCTCAATAGCATAAAATAATAAATATTTAAACAATAATAATAATAATAACAGAGAGAATGACCTACCAGGAAGCTACAGGGTAACCTGTATCTCCAATTTAACATGAAATAATTTTTTTTTTTTTTAGCTCAATTAAATATTTCTATACATTTTATTTCCTCAAGTAAAGTGTATTCAGATTCCGCCAGCGGAGAATGAAATGAGTCGGTTTTTGAGGAAGTTAGAGGTCGCCTGTCCTGAGAACGTGGAAAAAAATTTAGTCAAAACTTTTTTTGTGTTTCTCTTTTTAATTCTTCAACATTCTCCTTTTTTTTAGCACAGTCGTCTCTTGATAATTCGAAACTAGTGGCCGCGAAAAAAATTCGAATTATCGAGAGGAAGAAAAAAAATTGTTAAGAGTTGATATGCATTTTCCCAAGTTATTGCTTAAATTGTACATGTATAAAACATAGCAAAACGAATGAAAACCGGAAGTAGATCAACTGTAAAATCGAACATCGTTACGCATTATTGAAAAATTCGTGAAGTGGTTTTTCTTTCAATGTGACCTTTGTTTTTTTTTATTTCTTTTTCCGACGGTTTGCAACAGCAGAGGTCATATCAACCCTCAGAGTGCCGGTGTTTTTGAAAAAAAGCCCATTTGTAAGAATGTCGAGCTGGATTCGAACCCGGGACCTTTACCTTACAGTGGTGAGCGCCGTGTCAACGCCTAAACCGTTGAGGCCACCGACGCCCCACTTGGCATTTGTTTAAATGATTTTCCGAAGTGGCCAGTGCTGAGGACATCATGGACACATTGATAAAACACTGGCTGCAGAAAATAACAAACTAGAGAAAACTAGAATAAACTTTAGGCCATAAGTAAATAAACAATACATGGAAATTTAGAGGAATATAATGTACCAAAGAAAAAGTTCAAATTATAAAAGTGGGAAGTGCTCCATTTCAATTAATAGCATGCTTTTTCTCCCCCGAAAAATATTTCGTATTACTGAGTGTATCGAAATGCACAGAATTTTATCGATCTACCGGTTTCCTTCTGAGGAGTTCGTATTATCAAGAAATTCGAATTATCAAGTTTCCAATTAACAAGAGTCGACTGTATATTTATACAACTTACGTTTGTTGTAAGTTAAAATGAGCTTTGTAAAATTATCACATGTTGCTACACATGACGTGAATCAACAAAAACTCTCACCGACTCAGGCGACACAACAGGCTTCACAGGCAAGGCACAGACACAACTCAGGAGGCCTAAACACAAAAAGATGGAGTTTCTCGACCTCATCTCCAAGAAATCCGACTCGAAACTGTTCAAGGCGCGATTCTACGTTCCGCAGCCGGAAAACAACCGTAACGGACAGTTTCTGAGTAAGAATTTCACCATTTTCGCCCTTGCATAAAAACACCAAAAAAAAAAAATCTTTAAACTTAAGGCGAATGAATGATAAGGCCTCTTATATGTTATGAAAGCGTCTTATGTACAACTTACGGTATTTGGGCTTGAAAAGTCTTTAGTTTGAAAGAAAATTGTGGTTAAAGAGATTCATTCAAGATTTAAGAAGATAACAAATTTAAAATTCATAAATTTATTGAAATAAGACCTGATCTATTGTAAAAACTTTTTTCGGTATTAGTTTTCTACTGATGATCAAATTGATCATTTTAATAGAAAAATTTCTTCATTATTATCACACATTATTACACACGTAAGTATGTACGTTGTATAACAAAAGTTTCAATCCAGAAGAAATCTTGAACCCAGGAGAGAAAAATAAATCAAAACTGAAAATCAATAAAAAAAATAAAAATTCATAACGTTCATAAAGATCTTTCTTTGACTAGTTTGACTGTAGCCTGTTCTGCTTTTTGTTCTATTGTAGAATACATTTCAACAGGGCACACAATAAAAACTATGTAAAGTCCTTATTTTTACTCAACAACGAATATAAAACTCTAAGGATGTTTGAAATTGACTTAAATTTTATGAGATTACATAGGCATTTTATTTTTTTTAAAATAAATATTAAATATAATTTGTTGTTGTTGTAGCGACAGACTTAGGCGGAGGAGGTGCAGCGCAGAGACTCCTTTTTACAACGGGCGCTCCTAGAAGATACGCTGCCGTCCTCCAGTCCATCGCCCCGGAGAGGATCAGGGGGCGATGAATACTTTCCTCAAGTGAATTTTAAGTTTCCGATTTGTGAAAATTGTTTTGCGAGTGATGACGATTTTCGATGTTAAAATGCAATAAATGATTTTCACACTCTTCCATTAACACGTCTTTGATTTTACTTTTTTTCAATGGGATTGAATGAAAGACGCTTGTCCGATTTGGGAAAAGATGAAACTGAACCAGTATCGTCCCCGGACATCCTTGTCGGCCTAATCTGAACGGTTTTGTCTGACTATTAAAATCTTAAAGAAGATCCATACACGTGAAAACGCAAAGACCAGCTACCAGGTATTTAAAATTAATACGATAGACCAAACCAGCGAAAATAGGTTGAAAAGAAATTCAACCTGCCGTTTTCTGCTGAATAGAATGAACTAAACTGTATATTACTTTAAGCATCTCAGTCTGTTTAACTATCTGTTTAATTGTTGCCATTTTATCTTATATAATCATCCCTGAAGCCGTAATACTGATGATGAGGATTATATAAGGGTCACATACGATCCTCTTCATCTTTGTCCTTTTGCCGTCGAAAAAGAATGGACATAAACATTTTCATTTCTATTAGACATCACGTTGAATTTCGTGATGTACCTCTAGATCACCATAAATTTTTATACCTTTGATTTTGAAAATGATTCAAATCAAATGCGTTCTGGTAGTTGACTTCTCAGAGAATCACAATAATGTAAGTATGATTTACATTTAAAGAACCACCTTTAAAAAGTTCATGAAACGCCAAAACTGCCGAAAAGCACAAGCGAACAACGATACGCCTGCTCTTCCCACGATTGCAAACCACTTCGAACCGGTTGACAGGCCTTGTCAAAAAAATACTTTGTAAGTCCCACCCCCCAACAGGGAAAGAATTCAAGAATTGTCAACTTTTCCCCTATGACACATGATTCAACATCAAGCCTGTGCGAAGCTTTACGAACTTTGTCTCCCCAAGGTATGAAAGCTATATAGGTAATTCATTAACAGAAGTTAAATTGTTGGTCTGTGTTTTATTTCCTGTTTCTGAAAATTTCCTGTTCTTGTAGTTAACGTGTGTGTCAAAACCATCATGACCAAGCTAGTATTACTTGTATTAAGATTTGATTTGACTTCGTCCTTTGTCATCATCATAATCAGGATGACTTTGATCTTGGTCAAAATCTTTCAGTAAAATTTGATTTTTACGTAATATTTTTTTAAATTCACTATTCTTTAATTTGGAATACGTTGAATCGACAACATAATTTGGTTATTTAAATTGTATCACGTGAAATCGCTGTTAAGGTTTGCAGGTTGATGTACTTTTGGTATGTACTTCAGTCGATTCCGATCATCCTACCTATCCTCGCTGTTTTGGACTGTGCGTTTTCTGGTCTGTATGTCCTAGCGACAGACAAAGCCGATAATAGACATACCATGATGATCTGAAACGACCAAGCTACTAGCATAATTTTTTCCAGAGCTTCAATAACTGAATATATAATTTTTTGATTTTCTGTTTATGTAGTCAACATGTACCGTCATTTCTGTTTTTGATCAACATATACCTATCTTTCTTTAACAACGTAGAACTATTGCTCTATTCATGAAGTCAGCATATGATTTTTCTGTTCATAAAATCAACATGTACCTATTTTCCTAGTGGTTAAGTTAGTATGTACCTATTTGACTATGTGTAAAGTCAACATGTTTTGTAACTCCTTCAACCTGATGATGAGTATTTAATGCTCGAAATTCGGATAGTTGAAAACAAATATGTGAGCAGAACCATTATTTTTCAAAAAGTGGCCTATTTATGGGTTGGTATTTTTGAATTGATATTTTTGAATTGATAACTTAATTTTTTAATTTAAATTGTATGATGCGATATTTCTGTTGAGATATACAGAATGATGAACTTTTTAATATTTTGCTCGATTCTAGTCATCGCTACTTTGATCAATTTTCCCGTATGTCCTGCGATAGTCAAAGCCTGTCATAGATAGTTCAGGATGATTAAAAATGACCAAACTACTAGTATAAACTATGTTAATTGAATTTGTAAAAGAACTATGCAGAAGTATCTAAATGCCTGAGTGATTTGTGTGTAAGTTTGCTTATTTATTCAATACAGAAAAGATTAAAGACAAAAGAAATATAATATACCAAGAGAAAATCCCTTCTCGGTGTAATTCGCTGGTCTTGCTAAGTGCACCTAGCGCCTTATCATAAAATTCAGGTTCGACGAATGTAAAATAGACAAGTTTTTTTCTATAAATGTTTACCAGACCGAGCCCATTAGGGTCGCAGTAGACCGGGCTACCCAGAAGAAGATCGGTATAACCCGCGTCGGGCATTTTGCCGCAAGTTGTTAATCCTTGTAGCACACCGTCCCGAATCTCCTTGCAATCTCGGTCGCAAACATGCTTAGCGCATATTTCCGATTTTATCGAATTAAACTGATAATGGGAAAACGTCTCGCGTTTAATCCTTAAGAGCCCGCGGCACGATAAATATGGCTTGTCCGGGGCGAAGGCCGGCCGCTGTATGACGGGCACGTCCGGAAACCCTTTCTGCGTCACTGCGAAAGCCAGGTCGTTCAGGACGAAATCAGTCTTGTTTGACCTCGTGCAGTTTTCGTGAGTCTCTACCCAGTCGATGTTCGTCATTTCTGCAAAACCCCACTCGTAAGGCCCGACGAGGTATTCGTAGTGGATGGCATCCTTGTAACCTTTGTAGGTGATGCACCTACAAGTCGTCAGTACGACCTTTGGTGCTGTAAGAACACCGTTGCATATGGGTTCCCTTTTCTGCCTGTCTCTAAACACCATTAGACTCGGAAATGTTTTCATATAATAAGGACCTCTGTCGCTCTCCATAAGATGAACACCAGAAAGGGTTGACATCTGAAATACACCGACTATCAATAAAACAAAATTAAATGAAAACATATCACTGCGCATTATGGAAAATTGAGTTAACACATGTTGATTTGTTGTTTTAATCAATCAAACATATTTAAAAACATATGTTTCTTTTTGCTCCATACATTTTAACTGAGAAATATTATTGTGTCTGTTTTACAGTTAATAATATTTTTTAACATTATTAGTTCATTGACGGTCAGATTTGCCTCCTATCAGGTGGTTGACGTCAAGCGGATGAACATCGTCCAAGTCGATGTGGAATTTCCTCTTTTTGGCTAAAAAATAGTTTGCTGTTGACTGTTTCTGGTTTGTGATCGTGGTGAATATCATTTCTACCTTCCAAGTGAACGTTCATTTTTCTCCTCAATGTCCGATTTTGAAGCCGTTGAACTAAGTCCAACAGCATGACGTCAATCTCTGAATCTTGCTTTTCAAAGGGGCGTCGGTTTAGGCGTTGACACGGCGCTCATCGCTGTAAGATAAAGGTCCCGGGTTCGAATTCAGGGGGCTGGGCGGAAATTTTAAAATCTAATTCAGGCATTTTATACACGTATTATTGAGAAAACGTAAATTTACATAACGATTGTATGAACATTTTCCCACAACTTCCAGTGTCACACATTCCAGAACCTATTGACTGAAATCGTTGTTATAGAAAAAAAAATTGTTTTTCATTTGATTACCAATAAAAGTAATTCTATTCAATAATTCTATTTTTGCCCATATTTGAATATATCACTCGTATATATCTTTATCATCATATTAATATGTTATCTCGTTCATTCATTCCCATTAGTATAAACGCTGAGATATTGCTAGACTGTTTGTTTTTTCAAGAAAATTTAAAAATTGCCTAAGGCGAAAAATTCCCGCTACTTTGAGTATATTTTCATTATACATATATCATAAATCCAATAGTGCTAGAGAGGGACGTCGGTGGCCTCAACGGTTTAGGCGTTGACACGGCGCTCATCACTGTAAGGTGAAGGTCCCGGGTTCGAATCCAGCGGCCCTGCATTCGAAGCCGACATACTTACAAATGAGCTTTTTTTTCAAAAACACCGGCACCCCGAGGGTTGATATAACCTCTGCTTTTTTTTTCCTATCCGCTCCTCCCTGTATATAACCTCTGCTGTTGCGAACCTTCGTAAAAAAACACCTTATGTCAAGGTTGTTTATCAGCAAGGAAGGCAAATACAATATGTGCAACCTTTCCCCAGTCCACATTGAATTTTGATTATTTTTAAGAGACTTGAGCACTTTCAGCATATATAAAGCATTTTCCTTCAATTTATTGTTGAGCCTCTGATCACATCTTAAAGTGCGATCCATCGCTAGGGTACATAAAGATGCGACGATGACCTATTTAGTGCCTTGTCATAAAACATTGTAAATTTATTGTATTTTGCTTATTTTAGACTATATATAATTATTTTATGAAGGGTTTGGTTGAAATGAAGAAGTCAGTGCCACGAGCGGGATTCGAACCCACGCCTTCGCCTAAATACGCCGCTGCTCTAACCACTTCGATTCACTCGGACACCAACTCCCCAATCTCAACCTACAACTTTCGAATTTTCCCTCCTTTTTGCCATTTTACAAATGTCGGGTAATCAGGATCCTCTGCGACATATTAAGTGGCCACGGGGAGCTGTTAGTGAAGTTTACTTCGTTTTGTTTATTAAATCCATTATGATGATGAAAATGACCTCAAGACGATCCAATACAACATCAGTTTAAACTACGTAGGTCGATCAATGTCAACTATAAATCCATAATATTTAGTGCACTATTGACCAAATTATTTCTTTCAATTAATTAATCCTTTTATGTAAGGTTTTGGTTCGAATGAAAAGTCAGTCCGCGAGCGGGATACAATAGTGCCACGATACCTACCACGATAGCTCAAGTGGTAGAGCAACGTCGTGTCTAACCGAAGGTCGTGAGTTCGAATCCCGCTTATCGCAATGACTTTTTCATTTCAACCAAAACCTTACATAAAAGGATTAATTAATTGCACGAAGTAATTTAGTCCATAGACCACTAAATATAATGGACTATATATTGGGTTGTCCGGAAAATAATGCAGGATTTTAAGTTTTCATTAAAAAAAATCTATATAAAATATTCTGTTTACGTTTACAGGATTACTCATTTGTATGAATGTCAACACTTATTAATCCTCTTCCAAATGATATT